TCTGTAGGCAACAGTTTCACACAGCTATCAAGCGATAGGTGCCTCTTCCACAAAGCTGTATCAGAGGTACGTCAAGTTTGGCTGGTTAAAATTACATTAACCTTGAGTTCAGTCCGAAATATTTTATATCAGGCATTTACAAAGAAAACAGCATATTGACCAAAGCCTGAGTCAGAAATAAACTAGCAAACAACAATTTCAAAACCATATGCAGCACAGAAAAGAGAGGGGGAAAAAAAAAGAAACATGGAAGGGGAGGACATATTTCTCACTGGCTATGATACCACTGCATTTGTGGTATCCTTTTAATCTTTAGTATTCTCACCACCATCATAATCTCCTAAAACACACTCCCCACTTTTAAGTAAAACAGTCATCACACCTACTCTATTATGCAGATTAGAATTAATTCTAAGGCATGAATTTTCCAAAGATGTCACAACATCGAATAGTATTTCGTAATTTAAAAACAAACAAACAAAACAAAAAACAACCAACCAAACAAAAAAATCTTTTCAACTATCGGGGAATTATGTATTTCCTCTCTCTCTCGCCATCTTTTCACCAGAAACTAAGTTTCCCATTCCAAACTTCCACTCCCTGCTACCAGCTTTTGGCCCATCTCCCAATTAGCAACCTAGAGGTGCACTTTGCATGGTTTGCATTTACCATTCTCTCTACTGCATTGAATTCTTTCTGGCCCACGAACAAACCCAGAAGACATTTCTTGATCTCCTCTCCCAGAATCACGGCTGTCATTAGATTTTTTTTTTTATTAGTCTTTTAAATCTTCCTGTATCTCCTTCCCACTTTAATTGAGGCAGGTGGGCCCCTGTATGCAAATACAGACCACTAAAACAGCTGGGTCCTGTGCAGTCACTTGGGTAGCCTAGACCTCTGGCTGCTACTTCATGGGATTTTTCAGTTCTGGGTGCAGAGAAAAACCCGCTGGCAGTGACAGGTATTATGTCACAGCCTGTTTTCTACCAAACAAAAGATGACAGGCAATGCAAACTGTTTTTCAGATGACAAGTTCCCGTCAAATGCATTGCTCTAATTCTGCACCCTTCCTGCCCTTTTGCCTCTAGCAACAATTATGCAAAAGAACATATAACAGGTCAGGATCCCCCCCAAACTCGATATGATCTCACTTGTAATCCTCTGGACAACTGTCAGCTCTTGCAACAGTTGGATGCTATCTCTACTACCACATGATCTATAAGCAAGCCTTGCACTGATAAGCCAAAGAAGTGGTTTAGTAAGAGTCCTGAGCACAAGAAGGAACTGAGAGGCAGAAATGTGAATAGTACATATCACCAGTAATACAAATTCCAAGATTCATGGCCAATATTTAGGGAATCCCTGTATTGATGTAAATACCAATAACTAGAAATCATATGCTTAACCCTGCAAAACCTTTATATGTGTGAGAGGACAGACAACCTGAATAAGTAAAAACTGGAATCATAAAATTATAGACTGGTTTGGGTTGGAAGGGGCCTTAAAGATGATCTGGTTCCAACCTCTGGAAGGAGACACAATCACAGATTCACATAATAATGACAAGATTTAAAATTTTATGTGTTTACATTATACTGTATATGTGATCACAGAATACACAACACTATATTAAATCCTAAAAAAAAATCCAAAATAAAAGCTACTCCCTGCATTTACAATATTATGGTTAAATAGTTAGATATCAGAATTTTACTGTTTCTATTCAAATTGTGTTTTAATAATGGGAACATAAAAAGGATGGTATAATTGAAGAAGATGTAACAAACCACTTAAAAGCAGGCCCTCCAAATTTCTAGTCTTTTAAGTTAAGCTTGCTTAGCAGGCTTTTTTCTCCCCCCCCCCCAACTTACTCAATTAACAGTGATTAACATTGGTAGCAATTATGAGCATGCACAGGGAAGAGGAAGGACTGACTGTTTGCCCTCCAAGTTTCCAATTTCCCAGTTTTCCAATAATGTCTACTGTTTGCTATGTGCAGACATGCAGTGAATAACACATAAACTCTTGAAAGCTTGTTGTAGATGGTTTTTCACTTTCCAAGGGTTTATGAGAGACTGGCAGTCTCTAAAAAAAAGTGTAAAAGCACTGAGGAAACCCAAGCTTACTCTGTACTGAAGACGGTTTCACTGCTGCTGCTATCCCACCAGGGCAGTATAGGAATACACTTGGAAAAATTTACAGTGACTCTGGGGCCTACAGCTATAATTTTTGTGAAGACACCATGGAGAAGCAAACCCTACACAACAGCACTGGTGACGACTGATGCACATACGCACTGTTCAGGGCTGGGACCCTTTCAATGGGTGAGCCACCACCTTCACAATTTATACAACTAAGTCTTCCTAAACTACTTCTTCTTCATCAGCCCTAGATGACCACAAGACACAAAGTACAATTATTATTTTTCATTAATTTTTCAATTTGAAGTATCCTAAATATTGAGAGGATTGGGCCACAGATCAGCAGTATGTGGTCTTTA